GGAGGGGCGGCTCGAGACGGGGCGGTGAGCCCCGCCCCGCCAACCTGTTCGGGGCGAGGACCCGCAGGGGCGGGGCGGGGAAAATTGCCATATCTAATATTCTACTTTCCAGTAAAGTTATGCCTTGTCTGACTTTTTTTAAAAATATATTTCTTTTTTTAATTATACATTTCTCAATAAAATAATATTACACGTAATTCAAAAAATTTCCTTCATTTTTAACCACAATTATCTATTAATCTATTATTCCAAAATACATTTTACAACAAAAATAGGGCCCAAACACACATCTTTTTTTAAGGGTTTTTATCTCTATTTAATTTTGGATTTTACCATGGGCACATCAATGATTATATAATTTACCTATGACATTATATCATTGGTTGGAGTAAATTATTTTTTTTCCTCCAACCAACGACAGGATGTCACGTATATATTATGTATTCTTTAATACACAAGTATAATAATCCTTTTAGTTTTTAGCCAAGATTGTTAAAATTAAACTTTTATTTTAAAAAATAACAATACAAAATTTTAAAATAAAAAATTTTTTTTAGAGATTGCAAGACTAAAAGATGGTGCCGTGATTTACATCCACAATTATTATATATTCATCCATATTAAAATATTAAAAAATATTATTTTTATCTACGTCCCATTCCAATATTGTCCTTATTAAATTTATTCATTTAAACACTATAAATCCATACAAATTTTATATATTCACCCCACTTTAAATATATTACTAATACAATTTCAAAATTTTAAAAGATCACTATATTCAATCCCCGTTACATATAACGTCAACATTCTCACAATTAAACAAATTCTATTGACAAAAGTATTATATTCAAAATAAAATTGAATGTCCCGTAGGTGCGTTATTTGCCACATGAATTGATCCGTTATATTTGATTGACGAATATTCATTTTTGTATTCAATAAAATTCAACTTTTTGAGGTTACGTATAATTTTGAAATAAAATAAAATTTATATATAAATTTGAAACAAAGGATAAAATTTGTATACTTTAATTTGGAAAACTTGCAGTTTTAAGGATTAGTTATTTCTTTGCGCGATGCCTCTCAAAGTCATCATTCATTACCTAGTTTTCTTAACTCCATGTCAAAGTCATCATTCATTACCTAGTTTTCTTAACTCCATCAAACCTTAGGCCTCGTTTATCTCCCATTATTTCAAAACATTGTTTGCTATAGTAAGATTCTCCACCACACATTCATATTACTCAATAAAATATTCTACACACAAAACAATAAAGTTATTTTAAATTTCAACCACACATTCTCCAAAAAATACTATTCATTACTCCATTTCTTCTATAATAATGGGAGACAAACACACATTTAATCAACTACGACAAAACCCAATCGAAGCCCCAAAACCCAAAATGAATATAACAAGAAAGAATAAAACTTGTTACTAATATTACTTAATTCAAAAGACACATTATAAAATAACCCAAATACAATCAAGAATATTTCACATATGAAATTCATTAGATCCATAATAAAACGTAATCCTTATTTTTTCAAATTTTTCTTCATATATTGCCATGTTTATATGTATTTCCTCTAGTGGTATTTATTCCATTGTTTTGATTTTAGTTGAATGGACTATTTTATGATTATTAGGGTTTTATGATTTTAGTTGAAGATAATATTTTATGATTATTAGAATTTTAGTTAAACACAAATTCTAAAAGAATATAAAAAATGTTCAAAAGAATTTAATGAAAATAAATATTAGTGGATGCCTTTAAAAATATATAAAAAAATAAAAATAACAAAAGTTTAAATACACATTTGACTCTAACCAAAGGTGTTAGAACTTATCGTATAAGATAATACTATATGCATACCTTGTGGTGTACACAATCTTTTACACCCCTCACATGGAGGGGAGTCCACAAATATTTTATTGTGCGTGAGCCCCTTCCATGTGAGGGGGGTGTAAATAATTGTGTACACATAGCACAATCCTATCGTATAACTAGTCATGATTTTGATATATGTGAATCGACTCATGTGATTGTTAAGTTTGTCTTATATTATGGCTAAAGGCGTACGCTGGATCAAAAGCTTGATCGCCTTTTTCAGGATTGGAAATTTCGAGTCGAATAAGAAAAATGAACCAACATTCTATAAGTAAAATCAACATAAGTCTACAAGATCGTATTTATAATTAAAATACCAAGTAGTATAAAAGTTTTGCATGAAACCTTTTCCTTTTTCTAGCCAAAAGACTCTTTCCACAGTGAAATCATATGTTTTTGGCTTGCGCTTCCTAATCTCCCATGAAAAGTTCCTATTCTACTGGAAAATGCAACCAATAAATTTATAGATTGCAAAAAAAAAAAAAAAATTACGACAATATAAATAATATCCTCCTAGAGCATTCGACCTATATTAGCTTCTGTGATTCCACGTGCGATCTTCTACATTTCTTTAAATCTATGAGGGCTTTTTGCAAACAAGAATCTGCAGAATGTCTGACCCAGAAACGTAATTTGCTTGAGCTTTCGAAGGGGAAAGGATTCAACTTCGTAAATTTTGAACAGAACAAGTTCTCTCAGAGAGATGTCCTGCACCAGTCAGAGTATAGCAAAATTACCTATAAATCAAGGGAAATGTGGTTAAAGACAAATAAAAATGGAACTGGTGTGTGTGGTGTGTAACAAGTATGCATATGTGCAAAACCATAGACCCCTTGTTTGGTGTTTATGTCATTACTGCTCACAATTTTCCTTTCTTGATGGGCACCCACTACTTCAAGTATTCTCGTGACTTATTTGTTAAGATTTAGAGTTGAATGAGTGAGTTTCAACCATTGTTATCTCTTCTTCTTGCTAATACCATCACCACCCTTCTCCTTCGTGAGGTTCCATCTTAAAAGATCAACCTTATTAAGAATAGTTCAAACCCTTATAAAATGGTTTATGTTTTCATCTTTATTCGACGTGAAATTCTATCCTTTAACATGCCATCGCAAGATGATGACTCATTTGAGCAAACCAACCTTAAAATTCGTGTACTCATTTTTTTTGTGTCTTAATTGAATCGAATTGCTCGTGGAGCTTAATGGACTCTGATACCATATTAAGATTTGAAGTTCCATTTTAAAATGTCAACCTTATTAAAAGGAGAAACTCAATCCTTTATAAGTTGGTTTATATTTATATATTTATTCGATTTGGGATTCTATTCCTTAAAATGCCACACAAGATGGTGGCTCTTTAATCCACCATAAGCCTTTCCTCGTTTGAATCACGCCCTTATAGTTTGAAGTCCCATCCGAAGAGTAAATCTTAAGTCGTGGTGATATATTGATAATAGTTGACAGCATTATCAAATCATCTAATTGAAATATCTTTCACTTAAAACTTAGTTTTAATGGTTGAAAAAGAAAAATGATTCTGTATTCAATGCCAAACCTCGTGAGAGTTTAAATACCTAGAATTTTTTATATTTCATTCCTACCAAATGAACACATCGTTTCTGAATTTATTAAAACTGTTAAGAGAAAATAGAAGGACAGAGAGAGAACCCTCACCACCCTTCTTTGGCCAACCTTTTTTCCATACTAATATTGCCAGTCTGTTTTAAGCACTAATCTATTCAGTCCAAGAGGCATCAAAAGGCAAGGATCGGTACTAATCTATTTCCATCAATCCATTTAGTATCAAATTAGTTCACATTCCACTCTAATTGCATAGAATTATTGAAAGCTAAAATCACTTAAAAAATTATGTCTTAAATATGGTTAAGAACTTGCACAATTGAATTGAACAGAAGTCCAAATTCTGTCCATAACTCCATGAAATATGATAACGCAGACCAGTACTGTTACCATTACGATCCAAAGTCAATTCCCAGCAAAGCAATGAAACCTAATAAGAAGCATCAATGCCCAAAAGTTTCTTATAATGTCAAATTCCTTTGCCATTGCAGATAGAGAAAGTAATGAAAACAACAAAGACTTGCGGATTCAGACATAGAAATTGTTGTAAAAAGTCACATTTAGCTCTTCTTGAAGGAATCCACTCCTATATCATTATACTGGAACTATCTAATTATAGAAGCACAGGACAAGTTTATTTTTTTATGAGAGGTAACATAGAGAAAATGAATTCTACATTTCAAAGCAGCAGAAGATTTCTAAATTCAAAGAGATCAGATTTTACTACAGGAGATTGTTTCATTCAGAGATTCACTCCTATCTGGTTACACTGAAACCATTTAATCACGAAAGCACAGTATATGTTTGATAAAAGATAGCTTAGGGCAAATGAGTTCAGCGTTCTTTTGAAACAATTGAAGATTTCTACATTAGGCCATTATACCACAGAGAGATCAGATTCCACTATAGGAGATTATTTCATTCCAATTGTGCATTATAATTACCAGGCTAATAAAACTATAAACACAAGATCCAACTGTCAGAGTGTACATAATTATCCAAATTTTCAGCTGACCAAAATGCATATAAATTGAACAACAATTACAAAATATTAACCCAAATCACACATTTTTCTCAAAAGTTCACGAAATTACCTCAGGAAGAGTCATTTTGACAATGGCTTCTGCAAAAGAGCAGTCAAATAAACTTCACCATTCTTCACCCCACTCGAATCAGTCTTATTTCCTGCGGCCCATTTCACTTTCTTGTACCCCAACTTCCCAATCAAGGGTGAAAAAACCTTCTCAAGATCTGTCCTTTTACTGAAAAAATGGTCCAACCAAAAGTAACCCCCACCTCTCAAAACTCTATCCACATCAAAGAGCAAGAACTCCATTGCGGTCAGCGGTATCCACCTGTTGACAGCACGCCCACACCTCACAAGATCCACCACCCCATCAAACACCGGCAGCCTCTGCTGCAATGGCACATGGAGTGGCACTAATCCCCTCAGCGCCACGGCTTCATTGTATGGGGCACCAAAATTCATTGTTGTTGTTATGACTGTCACATTCTGCAGCTTCATCTGGGCAGCAAAAGTGCCGGTGCCACCGCCAATATCAAGGGCAAGTCTAATGACACTTTTTGCAGATTCAGAAAGCTGGAAGAGCTGCTGGATTGGGAGATCCAGATCTGATTTATAAGCCAAGAATCTTGATTTCTCTACTTTCATGTCAAAACCCATGTCAGATTTCGTATTTGCAAAGCAGGAGAAAGTCTTGCAGCTGTAATGGCCTAATAATGCTGTTTTTTCCGGGAGTGTGACAAATGGGTTTGTGGGAAGTGAGGATGGGATGGTGGAGGTGGTTCTTGAAAAGCAGCGGCGGCGGGGGAGGGGGTGACAGCCTCGGAGAATAAGATCCTCAGCTAAGGGAGAGTCATTTGGGCACAGAGCAAAGGGAGTGTAATTCATATACTGGTGCAGGAGGATAGGATGATCTTTACAAGAGGAAGCGATAGGGGCTATATGAGTGTATAGGAGGAGATCAGAAGGGGTGGAGGAGAAGGGGGTTTTCTTGGTAGGTGGGGTGGCGGGTTGGAGGCTAGTAAGGTGGTTGATGGTGGCTCGTATAGTGGTCAGCTGGTGGATAAGGTGGTCGGGAACTGGCGGAGGAGTCGGTGGCGTGGACTGGAGGGTGGAGGAGAGGTGGTAAAGGGACAGAATATTGGTGGCCACCATGGCTAGCAAAAGAAGAAAATTTAGACACATTGTGAAACCCATGTTCAAGATTCTCTAGAAATTTTCTAGATTCTTTCTGATCTTGACGAGGGATTTCTTTCAGCTTATGCAGATGCTCTTTCAACTCGTAAAACACACTGGATAGTGTGAGTGTGTAAATTTGGTGGCATACAGCTATCAAATAATTTATTGTCTGTATCTAAAGTAATACAGTATTGTGAAATAGGACAGTGCGGGGTTGCTCTGATCGGGGAATCTGAGATTTAACTGGCTAGATTTTGGATCCAAGTAAATTCTTTTCTTCTTCTTTTTATTTTTGGTCAAGTTGTTTACTGAATAGGAAATATGAGAAAGACGCTGAAACTGCCGAAAAATATACAACTGTACATTATTATTATTATTATTATTATTTTTGGAATTTGGTTTAGAGAATGAAATTAAATATGTAAAAGTGATTTTTGTGTCAGCTTCGATCAAATATTCGGCTTGATCCGATAGTCAAATTATGAATGTAAATAGTCTAACTTATTCTACTCGTCGAGTAGATCGTCGTGATATATTTAAAATTTGAAAACCAATTTCGAATTAATGAGAAATTGCGATCCAAAATTGGATAGAAAATGAGATACACGGGCTATAAAATGACTATTTTTATCCCTCGCCCATTGCTTGAGCGATGGGACGTCGCTCGATCGATAGTCTAGTGACAAGCTAGTAAGAGAAATTCTGATAAAAATGTGTTACTGTTACTCGAGCGAGAGGCCAACGACAATAAATGCTGTGACCTTTGATAAAAGTTGCTTAGTTTGATGTACAACATTTCATTTACAACCTTTCCTATTTTATATAAAAGACCTTTTGGACGTCCATTATACTTTCCATGTCATTTGTATTGAGTATAATACTAAATTTTTTTGCAAAATACTCTCCAAAAGTCATTCAAAAACATTTTTTTTTTGTATAGAGAGAAACATTCGTTCTAAGTTCGTTGTTGCTCGTGGTTTGAAGTTTTTCTACCACAAGTTGTATCTGTTGTATTTTGGAAGACAATTGCTTAGTCCGTAAGTACTGCTGTAGAGCAATATTGTCTTAAAGAGAAAGTGTTTTCACTTGCATCGAATTTCATTTTTCTTTTGTTTTCTTCTTCTTACATTCTTTCTTTGTAGTTTAATTACACTCTTGCAAATTAGATTAGTATAATTCCTTGTCTTGAACAACCATTTACATATTCTATCGCATATCCACCAACAATATTAAGACAATATCCATTTTTTTTTGTTGTTATATCCTTTCTTCATTTTTTGAATAAGCCTTTGTGTGCAATTCATTTCTTTCTATATTTTTATACGTTGAACTTCTGTTTATAACAAAAATGAATCATGTTGTGACTACTTCAAATCAAACAACAAATGGTACGAACCGTGTGGTTCCGCCTTTGGCTATACCTACATCAAGCTCTCACATCCCACATGGGGAAAAATCGAAAAAGTTTGGAGGTGTAGATTTTAAAAGATGGCAACATAAGATGTTGTTTTATCTTACTACTTTGAATTTGGTAAAGTTTCAAAAAGAAAGGGCTCCCGCTGTACAAGAAGGAGAAAATAATCGTGAATCGATTATTGCATTAGATGCATGGAAGCATTCAGATTTTCTTTGAAAAAAATTACATTCTAAATGGATTGGATAATACACTTTATGGAGTATATAGTTCAATGGACTCGACCAATGATCTATAGGATTCATTGGCAAAAAAGTACAAGACCGAGGATGTCAGATTAAAGAAGTTCATTGTTGGCAAGTTTTTGGACTACAAAATGGTAGACTCCAAAGCAGTGATAAGTCAAGTACATGAATTTCAAGTTCTACTACATGACATACATGCTAAATAGATGGAATTGGGTAAGTCCTTCCAAGTTGCTCCCATCATTGAGAAACTTGGAGTATACATCTCTCAATTTTTTTCTATCACAAACGCAAAGAGATGAATTTTGAAGAGTTGATAGTCCGATTGAGGATAGAATAAGAAAATAGAAATACCGAAATTTAAATTGGAGCAAATTTTGTTAAAACTGGTTCAAACGTTGTCAACAGGAAATGAAAGATCTCCAGTGTGACCAAAAAGAGACAACTCCAAGAATGCCAAGAAATTTAAAGGCAACCGTTACAACTGTAGAAAAACTGGACATCGTTGTAATGAATGTCGAAAGCCTAAGAAGAATGCACAAACAAATGTGGTTGAAATAGACACTTTTTCTGAAGGGATACAAGTGATGAATCTTTCAGCAGTTGTTCTAAATGTAACAACGTTGTAAATTCAAGAGAATGGTAGGTTGATACTGGTACTACCTATCACATTTGTGCAGACAAGACTATGTTCTCTAATTATAAAGAGTTAAAAGGAGAACAACTTTTTATGGGAAATTCTGCAAGTTCTAAAGTTGAAGGACAATGGAAAGTTACTTTGAAGATGACATCCGATAAAGAACTCGTCATCAACAATGTCCTACATGTTCCAGACAATTGCAAGAATCTTGTATCCGGGTCTCAACTTAACAAAAATGACTTTAAACTTGTATTTATATCCGATAAATTTGTACTCACTAAGAATGAGATGTATGTTGGTAAATGATACTTATGTAATGGAATGTTCAAAATGAGCATTCTTACAATTGTACCTAAACACAACATTATTAATAAAACTTTGAATTCTACTTATATGCTTGAGTTGTCTTGTTTATGACATAATCGATGAGGACAGGTCAATTACAAATCAATGCGCAAACTTATGAATCAAAGTTTAATTCTGATACTTAAGATTGATCATAATCATAAGTGTGAAGTATGTGCAAAGTTGGCCAAAATATCTTTTCACTTAATTCAAAGGAGCACGACACCTTTAAAGTTAATACATAGCGATAGATATGACTTGAAATTTATTCAAACTAAATGTAGTAAGAAATACTTTATAACTTTCATTGATGATTGTATAAAGTATTGTTATGTTCTACTACGAAGTAAAGACGAAACCTTAGATGTCGTTAAACATTATAAGATGGAAGTTGAAAATCAACTTGGTAAACGAATAAAAAGTATTTGTAGTGATAGATGTGGTGAATAAATGACATCGTTTGAAGAATATTGTTCTGACTATGGAATCATTCATCAAACAACGACACCTTACTCACCTCAATCAAATACGTTACTGAATGCAAAAATCGAAATCTTAAAGAGATGATGAACTCAATGTCGATAAGTTCGAGTCCACCTCAGTGAGGGAAAGTTATACTATCTGCAAATAACATTCTTAACAAGATATCTTTTAAGAAAATGGAAGAAACTCTAGATGAACCATGGAAATGTCATCCTCCTTCTTACCAATACTTGAAAGTGTGGGGGTTTTTAGTTAAGGTTGAAGTACCTAAGTCTAAACAAGTGAAAATTGGACCTAAAACGATTGATTGCATATTTATTAGGTACACCAATAATAGTAGTGCATATTATTTCCTCGTGCATAAATCTGAAATTCAAGATATACATGAAAGAACAATAATTGAATCAAGAAATGCATAATTTTTTGAAGATATTTTTCCATATAAGAACAAGGAAAATGTAAGTTCAAATAAAAGAACTTATGATACTACAAATGACACTTCAAATGAGAAAGAACCAAGGCGTAGTAAAAGGGCTAAAATATCTACTTCGTTTGACCCAAATTTTCTAACCTATATGGCAGAAAATGAACTAAAGACTTTTGATGAAGCAATGTCTACACCGTAAGTACCGTATTGGAAAGAAGCTATCAATAGTGAGATAGATTCCATAATGCAAAACCATAGTTAGGAGTTAGTTGATTTACCTCATGAGAACAAGTTTTTAGAGTGTAAATGAATTTTCAAAAGGAAACTCAAACTGGATCGATCCATTGAAAATATATGAGTCTAGATTTGTTGCCAATGATATAGACAAAAAGGACTTGACTTCTTTGATACCTACTCACCCGTTACTAGAATCACATAGATAAGGTTGTTAATTGCTATTGCAACATTACATAACCTTGAGATTTATCAAATGGTTGTAAAGACGTTATTCCTAAATGGTGAGTTAGAAGAAGAGATATACATGGAACAACCCGAAGGGTTCGTATCTCCTAATCACAAACAAAAGATTTGTAAACTAGTTGAATGCTTGTATGTATTGAAACAAATCCCTAAACAATGGCATCAAAAGTTTGACAAAATAATGTTGTGTAATGGGTTTAAGATAAACGAGTGTGAAAAGTGTGTATACATTAAACATATACAAAAGGCCTACGTGATTGTATGTCTATATGTAGACGACATGTTGATAATGGCCATAGTCACGAAATAATGAAAAACACCAAGAGAATGTTAACAAAATATTTTAATATGAAAGACTTAGGTATGACTGATATAATATTAGTGAGCAAGGTCTCTAGAATATTAAAAGAAATTATACTTTTCCAATTTCATTACATTGAAAGTATACATAAAAGGTATAACGTACTTGAGAAAAGTCCAGCGAAAACTCCTATTGACACAAGTTTACACTTAGTCAAAAATACGGGTGAATGTGTCACAATTAAATTATTCACAGATTATAGGCCGTCTTATGTATATTGCAAATTGCAGTCGACCAGACATATCATTTGTTGTGAATAAATTTAGTAGATTCACAAGTAATCTAAGCCATGATAATTGGAAGGCTTTAATAATGGTTCTTAGGTATTTGAAGTATATTTTAACCTATGTATTACACTTCACAAAATATCTCAGGATATTAGAAGGATATTGTGATGCGAATTCGATATTCGATATAAATGATTACCACTAGTGGAGCTGCTATAGCATGGAAATCGACAAAACAAACGTGTATAGATCGATCAACGATGTAATCGTAGACACAATATCATTAAGCAATTGATCTCTAATTGTATCATCTCCTTAGATTATATGAAATCAAAGGAGAATATCGTGGATCCA